GGATGAGGACTGTTGGGAGTTGGGAAGGTGATTTAAAATTAGGTGAGCAGGGAAAGCCTCACTAGGGTGACAATCGAGTGGCTGAAGGAGCTGAAGGTGAGCCATGGGAGACCTGGAAGAGCATTTCAGTGGAGGGCACAGCGGGAGCTGGAGGCGGGAGCTTGTTGGAAGGTCAGGAAGGAGTATACACTAGAGCAGGGGTCCTCAAACTACGGCCCGCGGGCCACATGCAAATACAAATATTGTATTTGTTCCCGTTTTGTTTTTTTACTTCAAAATAAGATATGTGCAGATATTTGTTCATAGTTTTTTTAAAACTATAGTCCGGCCCTCCAACGGTCTGAGGGACAGTGAACTGGCCCCCTATGTTTAAAAAGTTTGAGGACCCCTGCACTAGAGGCCTTTGGAGGGTATAGTGCACAGTGAGGGGCCAGTTTTGGAGTCTTTTTGGTGATTCGGCTATACCAACAGTGACGTGACAAGTACGGGGCCTGCCAGGAGCAGGTCAGGGAAACGGCAGTCCACTCCTGGCTTACGCCGGTCCTGGAGGCAGGGCTGCTGCGTCAGGCACTGAGTGATGGAGAGGTCCTCTTCCCTTGCAGGCGACGGAGATGCTGGTTCACAACGCCCAGAACCTCATGCAGTCTGTGAAGGAGACTGTTCGAGAGGCAGAAGCAGCTTCAATCAAAATTCGAACTGATGCTGGATTTACACTGCGCTGGGTTAGAAAGACTCCCTGGTACCAGTAGGCACCCGATTGAACCTGGTTGGCACAGAAACCCCTACTAAACAGTATGAAAATGATCTGAGCTCCAGGAGCCACCCAGAATTGCTGGGGGGTTGAAAGCCACATCCTGGCCTGATATAACAGAAAGGAATGGGGCCTCTTCACATTAGAAAGCATTTATTCTCTTGTCATGGACACTCTGAAATGTGTCTGCATCCTCAAACAGTTATACTCCTGCACATGCTCCCAATAGGCAGACTGGGTTCTAGCCCATGGACTTCACATAAGCTCAGAATCCAAGCGTGAACACTAGCCAGACACCCTGCTCTGTCCTTGTTCCCAGGGTACAGTGCCCTGCTTCCTTTCCCTGCTCCCTATTCCGCCCCCAGGCTCCCGAGACCCAGGGCCCAGGCAAGTCAGTTAAGAAGGAATCACTAGGCCTCCAAAATTTGTTTTGGGCTTTCCATGTTGCTGCTGACCTGCTGGTGTTCCCTGGCTGTGCTACCTGGACCCTTCAGAGTGAGCCTCACTGCTGTAGGGGAAGCTGGCCTCTGGGGGAGCCTCAGTATATGGGTCCTGGATTCACTTCCTACCCCTCCACAATTTACTCCTTCTAGTTTCCCACAGGATAAAATCAAACCTCAGTCTGTCGGGAGGAAATCACAGAATCACGATTGTCTTCTCCGTGCTCCTGAGCAATGTCTGTGCTAGGGAAACCCCTCGTCCCTATCCCCCTGCTATGGCCAGCCAAGGCAGCCACCCCATGAACACACTGTGTCCTGGTGCTCTCTGCCGCGGGAGGGGCATTGGTGCCGGGCGTCGCTCTGCCCATCGTCCCAGCAGGGCCACTCCCAGGCGCTTCATGCTTTGTCACTGCCGGCAGAGGTCTGTGCTGAGGCCTTATCATTCACTCTTAACTCGTATTGTTCTGAGCTGAAATGCTGCACTTAATTTTTAACCAAATCATGTCTCCTATCCTTGCTTTTATATTCTTGCCCCACACCCTGCCTAAACAAGATTTTTAAAGATATATGTTTGTTCTTCTGTAATTTCGAAAAGATCCTGTTTATCCTTTTGAAATTCAGTCCTAAGAATTGGTGCTTGCCCCCCAGGAGTGTTTAATGGACAGGCAGTCCTGTCTGAAGGACACTTCTTACCCCAGGGAGAGTGAGTGGTACTTGCAGACTGCAATTCTGGCGCTGTTGGGGATGAATCAATGGGAAATAATCCTCAGTAATTTCTATCTCCCTCAACCAACTACAACCAAGCCCCTTGCATCCTCTGCCCCTCCCAAGTCCTAATGTTCAGGAGAGTAATGGGTAAAGTATTAAATCATCACCATAAGTTTCCTATTAGCAAATGAGAGGGAAGAGCTTTTCCTCTTTTGCTTTTATCACTGCGGTCTAAGCATCCCCAGCACACGAAAGCATGTTTCTCCCCAAAGCCAGAACTGGGTGAGCAGAGGAGGAAGAACCCTTGCCTGAATCCAACGTGGTAGATCCCAACATGGAATGTGTAAGACCTGGTACTGTACACTCAGGCTTCCTCTATTTCCTATTAACTGATGAAGATTATTTTCAAGGCCCTCAGCATATTTGGATAGTTGCTTACCTGATATAAATGCAATATTAATGCCTTTAAAGTATGAATCTATGCCAAAGATCACCTTTTGTTTTACTAAAGATTACCTAGAGGAAATAAAACACTTCCAGTTCTTCCAGTGTTTTGAGACACTGGTTTACCCTTTATGCCAATGTGCTTTTCTCTAATATCAGTGCTCAAGACACAGTGAAGCAAATTAAAAAAACAACAACACGAAACAACAAAAAACCCCCAAATGATTAGACATCACCACTAAAACTACATTTATAAGCTAGGATTTGTTATATGCAAATATTTTCTGCCTTTTCTTTTGTTCTGTTTAAAACAATAAAGTGCATTTGTATAAATAATGCTTTAAATGATATTTTAGCAAGAACTTTTAGGTCAGGTTTCTCCTTAGTTTTGAAAAACAGCCAGTGGAACTAATCCTCAAGCCTAATGTTGTGCTGTAAGTAGTAGAAACCAGCAGTATGTTTACTTAACAAAGATCTGTGCAATGAAGGACACCTTTGGGGATTATATACTAGGAGCAAAAGTGACAGAGGTTAACAAAAGGAGGAAAGCAGCAGGTGATGCGAAGTAGCCTGCCTCATTTTAGACGATTCTAGCTATCCCTGGAGACTATCGCCATCCCCTAAGGAGCTGAAGGTGTTACATGTGCAGGACTGTTTGTCATATTCCTCCTGCTGGAGGAAGCACTGACCAAGAGTAGGAGCCAGGTTCCTGGAGGAGAGCTGGGCCATCACTGTTTTTGTTTGATTTGCTAGGTCTGAAAGGGGTAAATATCATTAAAAGGCTATAGTTAGTGTTGCTTCAGCTTAGAAAAGTTACTGAGTAGGGAGGCAGAGTCTAGCCTGCTTGAGTCCACAGGAAATGTCCAAAGCTACTGAATCAGCTCAGCAGTATCTGAAAACAGTATTCATGGTCTCATTTTTGTAGTTCACCCTGTGTTCATTGGTGCTGCCTTCCTGCTGTATTATAGGTTAGTCATTTTCTCAAATCAGAATACCCCGAGGGTAGTGAGACAAATGTCTTCCAAAGGCTCTTCTCTAGTTCCACTTAAGGAACAAACCCATCACATGAATTCCCTTTGATTAAAAGGATGGTGACTCCCTTACACAGAAAATGAGCATCTACTTCATTTGCTCTTAAGATACACTCCTTGAACAATTTAGAAAGCAGAGCCATTCTGGGATTAGCTAGAATTCTGAGCTTGAAAAATAGTCCAATACTACTAAGTATTACTGCATCTTTGTTATTAGTACATGGTGGCAGGGAGAAGCAGCTTTGATCAATCTGTGGCCAAAAGGGTGATGGGTGATGTGTAGAGAACGTATGCATGACGGTTAACACACCGAGGTTGAGAGAGGAGCACTGGAAGTGCTTTGTAGCCACCTTCACACCGGGTGCGACAGAACAAAGTCTCATCAGGCTGTGCTTGCTCTGACACTGCGACCTGCCCCTTTGAGAATGCTCAATCAACAGTCAAGATAAAAAGTCAATTTGTTGCTTTCATCTTTTTATTGACAGTATAGCCAGAGCTGGAGGAAGGATTTACTGGGTTCCATCAAATCAATAAATACAATAATTTAATTGTAAAAGGAAATAGTCTATTTGGAAATTTTATCAGAAATTGCTAGAGGCAAGGGACTCTTGGCATACAATCTGCTTGTATATAAGAGGAGACAGCACAGAAAGAAAATCGGACACTGGGTACAGATGGCTGATTAGGGATTCGGCAGAAAGAAAGCAAATGAACTGATTGTTCTTTTGAGGTATGAACTTTGTAAAACACTAAAAATAAAAAGTAGTTTAACTGGGTAGCCAACATTAAGCAAAGGGAATCAATATTTGGCAACATCCTGACTTTAGCTGCCAAGCTGATGATGCTACCCGGGAAATTTTTTTGTTGTTAATCCTCACCTGAGGATATTTTTTCCATTGATTATTAGAGAGAGTAAAAGGGAGGGAGAGAGGTGGAGAGGGAGGGAGGGAGGGAGGGAGGGAGGGAGGGAGGGAGGGAGGGGGATGGAGGAAGAAAGGGGTGGGGGAGAGAAACACTGATTGGTTGCCTCCTGCATGGGGCCGGGGATTGAACCTGCAACCCTCTGATGCTTGGGCTGACTCTCTAACCAACTGAATAACACTGGCCTGGGCTCTAGAAATTTCAAAGTTGCAAAAAGTGACTTTTCCTGCTAGATGAAAGGTAGGCTGGGTGCCCTAGGCAGGCAAAGGTAAGAATGTTGCTGTATATTGGGCTCCCTGCACCAGCACCAAACACTAGTCCTTGACAGCAGAATGGGATGAGTGTCAGGGCTACTTTAACATAAAGGAAAGGGAGGTATAAGCTGAGAAGAATGGAAAGAATGGAGTCATAAGAAGAAATCTAATAGCATAGGTAAGGACAAGGGGGAAAATATGAAGAACAAGCACTTATATCTTAACTTTTAGCCTTTCTCCATTCTTCATGTCTAATGAGGCAAAATAACTGGGCAAGGACTACTAAGCCAGTGAAGTTGAGTGGAATACAACTGTAGACTGGCAGCCGACCATGATGACCAAAGGGTTTAAATGTTACTGAGGATTTTACTTCTGTCTCACTATGTTCTTCTACATGATTTGTCAGTACAGCAGAGACATGTAAGTACTCCAGTGACAATTACAACAACAGTTTCAGGACGGAAGCTATTTACTATAGCTTTGAGAAACACACAATATGAAAAGGGAGTTCCCCTTGAAGACAAGGGACACAGGCAAATTCAACCCTTTAAGAACAACAACACATAGACACAGACAACAGTATGGTTATTTCCAAAGGGAAAGGGGGGTGTGGGAAGGAAGAAGAAGGTTTAGAGGGAATAAATGGTGATGGAAGGAGATGTGACTTGGGGTGATGAACATACAATACAATATACAATATACAGATGATGTAATTATAGAATTGTGCACCTGAAACCTATATAAATTTATTAACCAATGTCACTTCAATAAATAAAAAAAGTAAAAATAAAAAGATGAAAGACCATAGTGAGGCAGGCATATTTTCCTCCTTTTGCTGATCTACAGCATGAGGCCTTTAGGCTAACTATGGTTTAATTGGTGTTGGATAAGCTTTATAAAACATGAAGATGGCAAAGGTTCACTTACATTCTTATTTTACTACTTTAATTTATTTAAAATCTCAAACACTTGTGCTTGCAATAATTTCCTAAAAGCAGTAGTGTTCCCTTATATTACCTTAATAAAGCATTTGCCCCTTTCATACAAATGATTTTTACTGTGCTAACAGCTAAACCAATGGTGCAAAACTGAGATGGTACTTACTGCAGCAAGGTCTCTGTAAATTAAAATCTGCGCTTTACATAGAAATCTTATTTATAAAAAATACAATACCAAGTACAGTGAGAATGGAGCGTGGAGCAGCAGTGCTCCTTGCCAGGGCATGTGGAGGTGGCTTCTGCTACAGTGCTTGCTTAATGGCACAAGTGAAAAGCTGAATAAGGCAAACACTTGAAGAGGCAGTTTTTTTTGTAAACTTCTTGGGGTGGAGGGAATTTCCTCTTGGAACAGATGCTGATTTGGGATGGCTAAGATCAGGTGTGATATTTGGCTGCACTTGACACATCACATTACAGATGAAGACAGCTGCTGGCTGAGATCAGTTCACTTGTTTTAGGAGAGAGGTTATCACTGTAGCCTTCTGCCTTTACTGTTACAATGTGCAACCTCCAGCTGGTGCCCCCTATGGAGAAAATCACCCCCAAAATCTTCCTAAGTAAGAGATACAAAACAAGCTAAGTTATTAAAAAATTACCTTAGCTTAAAGCTCCTTAAGAACCCTACATGGAGCACTAAGCAACTCTGTTAGCGGCGTGTAGCTCACACAAATGCTTTAACTAGAATAAGTATTCCCACCCACTTGGTACCTCATAGTAATAAACTATAATGACACTGAGAAAACAAACAGATCTTGAAGGATTTTGGCCTCTTCTCATGTCCTCACTTGGAACTTTCCAGCTTTTGTGACGTATTTGACTCCTTTAAATGGCTTGTATTTCTCCCCATACATGTCCAAGCGGTTTACTTTTAAGCCTGTGTCAAAAAGAACAGGTGGGAAAAGAATACATTATTATCCTGGTCACATCAACCAATACAGTATTTGTTAACAGTGAGCACTACACAGTAAATCTGACAGTAACCAGTGTCCCTTATACCACTTGGAAACAATATCCCTTCTACCATATACAAATTACAGCATTGTGGGGATATTATTCAGTTCAGATTCCCTTGTGGGCAAGGAATGTCTTTTAAGGTTAAGTCTACTTTCTGAATGCAGAACTCCTTTGGTGCTTGAATCAGGGTTGGGGTAAAGGAAAACCGTGTGAAACAGGTGATCTCTAAAATCACTGTCCCTGAGAGGTTGGCCCCATAGCAATGTGAAAGGCAAACTGGAGCTATTCTTTCTAGAGAGGGAGTGTTACCCTTCTAAGCTCCTAGTAGTTGACCTGAGCAAAACTCAGTTACCCTTAAACACAAATCAAATTTATCCTTACCTGAAATAGCAAGCTGCTGGATCTTGAACTGTATGTTGAGGCTTGGATTTTCTTCTGGCTTGGGTGCTCCAGACTGTAAATTCACCAGTCCTTTAAGACTTGGGAGCTTTTGTGGAGTAATTTTCCCCACATCCCATGTTAGTACCTTAAAAAGACATGAAAAACAAACAATCTGAACCATTTAATAAAGACAAATGTTCAAAGACACCATAAACTTTTGTACAAAATGAAGCACAGTGTCTTGGAAACAGGAGACCTGGGACCTTCACTGAGTTCACCACTAATTAGTTCTGAGAGTCTAAATGGAGAGTCAGTAGAGAACCAACATTAGTTGAACATTGACTTTTGGATATAGCACTGTGCTTAGCACTACCTGTATGTTATCTTATAGAAGCCTGTGATGTAGATTTTGTCTTTTTACAAATGAGGAAATTAAGGCTCAGAGGTAAAATGATTGCTCAAGGTCACACAGCCAGATAGGGACAAGGCTGGGGTTTGAATCTAAGGCTATCTGATTTCAAATGCTCTTTCTACTATGTCACATTCACTGTTTCTGTCTGAGCCTCAAGTTTATTTTTGTGTAAAATGAGAAGACTGACCTAAACTGGTATTTTAAACGTTCAGCTGTGGAACCCTTTGTTCAAATGAAATCTATAGCGTGGAAGCTCAGTAATAGATGAAAAAGAGAAGCTGGTTTGTGAAGGGCCAGGCATCTGAAGCCCCCCTTCGCTTCTCAGGCCTGTGTGGTTCTTCAAATCCTTAGGACTACATTAGATGATCTTTAATATTCTATGATTTTATTTAAAAATATGCCTTTTTGCCTGGCTGGTGTGGCTCAGTTGGTTGAATGTTGCCCCATGCACCAGGTCACTAGTTCAATTCCTGGTCAGGGCACATGCCCAGGTTGTGGGTTTGATCTCGAGTAGAGGGTGTGCAGGAGGCAGCCGGTTGATATTTGTTTCTCTCTCATTGATGTTTCTATCTCTCTCTCTGTGAAATCAATAAAAACATATTTTAAAAAAATATGCCTTTCATTTACCAGGCAGTCCAATGACTCTGCTGTTGAAAATACTATTTTTTTACCCAACAAGGAAGCTGAGAGAAAATCATCTTTTGCAGTTTCTCTGAAGACCCTCTGCTAGAGGCACATTTATGTAGGGTGAGGACGCGGTTTTCCTAGCCAACACCCCCTGTGGAAAAGTATAAAACAATGCTCTTAAATTTTTTTTTAAAAAAGAGAAAGATCTAAATGATCAATTTCTACAGTAAATGTAACAATAGCCTATATATCTTCTTATAGCCACACAATGTTTTTCTCTTTTTAAAAAGCTTTTATATCTTCTTCCTCATTAGAGAATGAGTGCCTGGATTATCAATGGATGAGCAAAGGTGTGCACACTCTGAAGGGGGACAGAATGAGTCTGTTCTGTTCTGAGCGGCAGATGCAGTATTTCCTTCACAGCCACTGGCAAAAGCACAGCACAGTATGCTCTCTCTGTTTTGTTAGGAACTTTAGTTTTAACCAAGACTCTAAGACAGGGGTCGGCAAACTTTTTGACTCGAGGGCCACAATGGGTTCTTAAACTGGACCGGAGGGCCGGAACAAAAGCATGGATGGAGTGTTTGTGTGAACTAATATAAATTCAGAGTAAACATCATTACATAAAAGGGTACGGTCTTTTTTTTTTTTTAGTTTTAGTTTGCCCACGGCTGCCTTAGACCTTCCCTCTAGCCCCTGCCCCAAATCACAAAGTAAAGATTGCAGAAACACGCTCACTCTTGAGTTGAGGTGGTTATACCTTGGTAACTGGATCAAATGTATAGCTGCCTTGTGTCGGCGTCAGGTTCATATTCAGCACAACTTTTGGCATGTGAACTGTCACTGTGATTCCTTCAATAGTTTTTCCCATATTCTGCTTTGGTCCAATTGTAATATCAAATCTGCCACAAGAACTGTTCTCCTTAAAGCTGATGCTATGTTTCACATACACTGGTATTGCCACTAGACTAAAAAGATAAAGACACAAAAGCACAGACACACATAATTAATGATATGAGACAGCTCAGGAAGTGACCTTAAAACCTCAGTCCAGGGTATCTACCCTGCCTCTAAGTTCACTATAAGACCTTATACCCCTAGAAGTGCGGATTCTGCATCTGCACGGGGGGTGGGGGTGCAGTGAGTATAGCACATTGTTCTGGTACCACTACACTAGGAATTATACAATTTCTGAGGAGTAAGTATACAAATCAAGATAGAAATCTGAAACTTAATTAGAGTATAAACAATTGTGGCAAATAGCCCTAGTTTAAAGAAATGAATTAAGATCTATAGAAAGATAATTTACCATTATGCAAACTAATTAAGCAGTTTGTATGTGGTAAGAGCCAAGAAACAATTCAAATCTCTGCTTTTGAGTCCTGTCCTGATGCTAGCTAAATAACTTCTGATATTTTCTAGGGAAAAACTAGCTACAACCCACAACACTAAATCATTCATTTAAACCCCAGTGCAAATTAATTAACTAATTAATTAATGAAAATAAACCCCAGTGCATAGAAGACTGACTTGGAGCCAGTTAGTTGGGGAATGTCCTGGAGCTATAGGTAAGTCTGTCTCCTTCTGTCAGCCATGAAGTGTATAGACCATAGTAAAATTATGGCATGGGTTCATGGTTTTACTCAAATTATACAGTTATACAGTCCCAAATGCTTGCTCTCAGGTACATATTTTACTATGGTCTCATTTACTACTAGTCTATGCTTAGATTCAAGGTACACTGATTATTTTAGACACCTATTTTCACCAGTTCTTGGTTCTCCTGGTGAACCATGGCTAAAGGCAGCAACGATGAACTCAAGAATCCAACTATCAAAATGAAAAGTCAATTCTATTCAGCATATTGATATATGATGGCGGTATCTGGTTGATCAACATACTTTTGTGAGCTGACCCGATATGATATGAGTCGGAAATTTCCATCTGGAGGAATAAATGACAAAACTCTTTCAGATTCCCAACGTTTGAACCGGATGCAGGGGTGGAAGCTGACATCATCTAGCAGCCTGGGGTTCTGCCAGGAAAACAGAACACAACCACCATATTCATAGAGCATAAGGAACATGGCAACTCTATTCAGATATGAGAAATTAATATTCTCCCTAAAGATAAAGCAGTCATGTAAGAGTTTGTTATTACGACCACATCATAAGCATAGTTTTACAACACTCTAAAGTTTGCAAAAATTTTATATCATTATTTTACTTGAATCTTAACTATGAAGTAGAAAATCCAAGAGTTTCATTTCCATTATATAGATGAAAAAACTGAGGTCCAAAGAACCCAAGGTCAGGACAAGTTAGTGGCAGAGACTGAACTGGAACTCAGTTTTCTTGATTGTTCTTAGTGGCGTGTCATGCTGAGTCTAAAATGATGCAAAAGATTAATGCCCTTGCATACCAGCAAAACAAATAATAATTCAATGAAATCAATGCTGCAGAATTGCAGAAGCCAGCAGCCATTTAAGCTACTTCTAGCACACCTAGGCAAAGACCTCTCCTCAGCCTTTCCATACAGGCCATGCTCATCACGTAAGCTAGTGTCCTGGTAAGCTGTGCTAGGATTACTTCTGAGATAATCTTTTACAATCTAAGATACAAGACTGTCTCAGTGTTTATCATTTCATTTAGTGCTGCATATGTATTAAGCATGCAAGGAGCTATAGGACAGGCGAACAAAACCTACCATGAGCCCCCCCCCCCCCCCCCCCCCCCGCCAAAACAAAAACAAAAACAAAAACCTACCATGAAAGAAAGGGAAAGGTCAGGCATTCCGGATAACTTAATGCAAGCATCAATGACCCCCTGAATTTCTGCAAAGACTGTAGATCCTGAAGAAAGAAAAAAGGTGATAACATCATCGGATCTGCGTTTTTATGAGTTATCACTGTGTTGAAGTGATGGAGACACCTCCTGGGTGTCAGATATACTGGACCTCTGCACATCTATTATCAGACCAGTGGACAGAGATCCATTACATTCAGCGTCTTCACTGAGTGCCATGGCCCATACCTGACACAGGCTGGAATACGATAATTCTACGGAAAATCAAACCTGTCTACATCTCTATAGAGTCAAACTTGTAAAACTGCTGGATATGAAGTTAAAATATTTTTCACAGAATTTTAAAATGAGGCAAGTTTCTCATGAAATGGACTAAGCTACCTGTTCACTTTTAAGAAATAGGAGCCATTATTCTGCAATAATACAGCTATTTTCTGTATGATGGAATTTTATAATGAAAAGGGTACTCACTAAAGAAAAGATACTGGTTATAGTTCACAATAACTCAGTTTCATACTAACTAGCTGTGCTACCGTGAGCAGCTTACTTAACCCTTCTGAACTTCAGTTTCCTTAGGTATAAAATGTGAGGGCTGGAGATGTTTAAAATGTTTGTGATCTAATACAGCACTGTTATTTTGTCTGGGATCTTTACTAGAAATACTGCACAAAAAATAGCAGCAAAAGTACGGTGTATGGTAGAAGTACAATAAACGTTACAATGAATAAATGGCAAGAGGAGAGGTGTACAGGGTAGTAATCAGCTTAATGTAAGACAACATAAGATCTGATTTACAAAGATTGGCCGATCTCAACTAGTGGTTATGAAAATTATATGTAATCTCTGAGCAAAATAAATTTAAACATTAGTCTTTCCACTGAAACTACCAATCCCTGCCAAGGGATTTCAATTTTCTCTTCAGCTTATGTCAGCTGAACTGTTTTTTCCCAAATAAGACCACATGCACACAATTACCTGATTTATCTATAATTGCATCTATTTCTTCAACGACATCAAAATAGGCTTCATTATTTGTGTACTTTACTCCTGCCCGGCGCCATGGGATGTTGGACAGCTGCCCAGTGGGGAGTGTGTCCCCAACATTACTACTGCCTAGAAACCGGAAAAGAGAAAAGAAAACTAATGCATAAAATGGTCAACAGAAAAGCTATTAACAGGAAAAAAAAAAAAAAAAAGAGAATATTTTAGCTGCTTCTTTCATGTTTGGGTTTTTCTTCATTGAAGTTGTGGATGGTTTCTAGAATTGCTGGAGACATATTCATACCAACATGATCAAATTTCTAGAAGACAGAAATAGGCCGTGTGGTCCTCTATCTGCCAAACCAGCTTAAATTCATTTACTTATCTTTTGCTTCCTGTGTGTTAACAGTAACCTAACCTAATTCCAGTGGCTCAACAACAGACTCTCATCCTGCTGCCACTGATAAAAAAAGAGGATGGTTGTTTCAAAACCTTCTGTCAATAAAATGTCTCCACTGAGAATACAGGGTGATAACTAGGTCCTTTGGTATTCAGCTTGGATTCTACAGGAGATGCTGCCAAGCAGGCCTCAGTGGAGTAACTGCAATGAAGAACATACTCTGGCCTTTTTCCATTTTAAGGTCAGCACACCCTTCTGGCTACAATATGGCTAATGTTCAATATCTGGCTAATTTCCTGGTAAACTGACATAGGTTTGAAAATAAATCTGGTTGTCCTAAACATATATCCTTGAACTTTTAAATAGTTACCAATATGGTTAATTTACATTTCCAATTCAAATGTAGTACATGCTTAACAATAACAACACCTTTCATTATGACTATATCACCTACAAAGTATGTGATGAAACTGCTTTTAAAAATCTTATAATGTTATTTGTGTATTTCAATTTTAATTTTTTTTTTTTCCAGTTCCCTCCCATCCAGAGTATAAGTTTTAGGAAGGAGCACAGACACGCCATCTTATCTTTCCTTGAATTTCTCCTGACATTCAGCCTTGTACAGAGGATGAATAGGAGCTATGGAATGAACGGTTTCTTATAGGCCTCTCTCACCCACTTTAGTGCACTTGGAGAGGCATTTACAATGGTGGACAGTAGAGTTGGAATGGCACATAACATTTCATAGAAATCTTTCTCTAGAAGACTTTAATTTTTTTCAAAAGAATATTGTCATCTGAATGTACCTAATTTCTAGCCCTAATGAAGAATTAAATCAAAATTGGAAATTTATAACACAAGTACAAGGTCCACAATGCATGAGATATCACAAATAGACTTAATTTCTTGTCTTTCTGTCTTAACACATCTTTTTCATGTATAAATGAGCTGCCAAAGGGAGCACTTGCATGTATAAAACAAAGACCTGGAGGAGACAGTATATACTCTGTGGTAGCAAGTCTCACACTTTCTGTACTTTATTGATTGTAGGGTAGCAGCATATGCCAGTTTTTTAATACTATTTTTATTTTTTTCTGGTTTTATTGAGTTATAATTGACATATAACATTATGTTAAGTTTAAGGTATACGATAGAGTGATTTATGTGTATATATTGCAAAATAACTATCATAGTAAGTTTCATTAACATCCATCATGACATTTGCTTCTTTAGGATTAACTGTGATCATTTATTTAGTCTTATTATTTAGTATTAAATAATAGTAATATTATTATGGTTTTGTAGAAAAACCTATAATAAAAATAACCAAGAAGTTCTTTAGCATTTAAGACTCAGCAAAATAGATTTTTAAACATGAAAGGAAATATACATCCATTTAAAATTCATCAAACTTTAATTCTGGCCAAATTGGACTGTCTTAAGGATCTGCCAGATCATAAGAAATGGTGTTGAGTTGTTTATAAGGTTTTAGTTGCTCAATTCCTAATAAAGTGTATTTTCGCCTCACCTGTAATAGAGTTGACGACAGAACGGAGAATTGTTGGTGGTTTAATCAGTTCTTTCAAAATATTAGATTCAGTAGCCAGTGGAAATCCATTGTCTAACATTTCTTCCAAGAGCTCATACACTATGACCACATTATCCTTAATTGCAGCCTCTGAACACTCACCAAAGTAGTCCTGATAAAATACCACAGAAGGAATGAAGAAAGGCTTGCTAAATACTTTTTGTTCTGAAGGGTAAACTTACAGTCGCGTAATTCAATGAATGTAAAACAAAGGGGAAAAAAAACCCTTTGATAGTTCTATATAATATTTTCTTAAATTTCTGGATTGAATTGAATTTCTATTACATATTATGCCAGAAAGTACAGTGAAGCATTAAACCAGAATGTGAACTATAAACTCCCCTTGTCCCGATTAGGTACCCCAAAACACACAGATTAAAGTATGTGGCATATTCAGTAAAAATAAAAAAATAAAATGTGAACATCAGATTTCATGACCAATAAAAATCTTGGGAACACTCAGAGAACTGTGTGTGGAAAGCACTATTGTTTCCTGATGACATAATTTACAATACATATAAAAAATAAGGGTTCCATGCCAATGAGAGTTTTCTGTTCTCCTGAAACAGTGAATGGAGCAGCCATGTGTGCTACTGTATACCCTACGTAAAATGGTTTATGCATAGTTGAAGACAGAGAGAGAGGGACAGTAGGACAGACAGCACAACAAAAGCTGGATAGTTAAAAAATATAATAATGTGTCCCCCCCAACTATCTTGGGTAATTTAAGTTCAAAGATCTAATGAATAACCAACCTGAAAAGTGTCAGCAACTCGATGTAGGAATTCAATTACAAAGAGAGGTGGCACTTCAGTCTGTATGACAGACACAAAGAAGAGCTTATCCCTATAGATACTGATGAGGTAGTGGTGAGGTGTTGAAATGACAGGTGGTACATTTTCAACATCAGCAGCTTTCTCTTGAGCTTCAAAGAAGTAATCACAGACAGATTGGCTCACAACACTCTTCCAGTGCTTCTCTAGAAATATGTCACCGGAACAGTTTATGAGAAATAGACTGTGGATCATTTTCTGGGGGGAAAAAGTTTAAATTTAGTATATATACATCAAAGGTATCTTTATATTATCCTGACACCAAACCCAGAAAAGGCAATACAAGAAACTATAGACCATTATCACTTAAGAACATGGAAGCAAAACTTCTAAACAAAATACCAGCAACTGAATCCAGCATCATAAAAAAATATTATACTGATATACCTTGACCAAGTGCGATTTGTTCCAAGAATGCACAGATGGTTTCAACATATGAAAATCAATTAACACAATACACAGTATCTATGCTAATAAAAGGGTAATAAGCTAATTAGACCAGATGTCTTTCAGATGCCTTCTTGACAAAGCCACAGTGGCAGGGACAGAAGCAGAGACAGTTAGGGGTGATCAGGCTGGCAGGGGAGAGCAGTCAGGGGCGATCAGGCTGGCAGGCAGAGTTGGTTAGGGGCGATCAGGTAAGCAGGGGAGCAGTTGGGGCGATCAGGCAGGCAGGGAGGTGAGTGGTTAGGAGCCAGTGGTCCCGGATTGCAAGAGGGATGTCCGACTGCCGGTTTAGGAAGCAAAACTCCTAAACAAAATACCAGTGGGATTAGGCCTAAATTGGCAGTCAGACATCCCTGAGAGGTCTTGGATTGGAGAGGGTGCAGGCTGGGCTGAGGGCCCTCCTTCCCCCGTGCACGAATTTCGTGCACCAGGCCTCTAGTTAGAAACATAAAATACCACCCAATAGGATTTCCTGCAATGATGTATATGTCCTGTATCTGTGCTGTCCAATACGGTACCACTAATCACATGTGACTAATGAACACATGAAATTTGGCTAATGCAACTGATGTACTGAAGTTTTAATTTTAATTAATTTTAATTATATGTAGTTAGTGGTTACCATATTGGACTGGGCAGCAAATGTGCTGAACTTATAATTAAGAGAAATAGTTGAAGGGTATGCTTCTTGTATAGTTAGAAGCCAAAGTGTGTTCTAATAAATTATTTAGAGCAGAAATTATATTTAAAGGAGCTGACATATATTCTCTTCTTCAACCATTTATCTTATAGAAAGAATAGTTCACATGTATCTGTGGTACTCCATTGCTTCAATATACCCTAAAAGAATGCTGTTCTTGAAACAAGCGACTTTGAAGTTTTCTTTATTTTTAGAGGCCAGATTCCTACTCATCGTTTTAAGCTGGTGAAAAATTCTTTCCAGGAAAAGTTTCCACCAAAGTTGCTTTCATTGGCAGTAGTTCAGATCTCAGAAGAATACAGCTCGTTAAACTGGCCATCTGGATTTATTGTTATCCTTAGTGCTGAGATGAAAGCATAATACTTCGTAGCTTTCATTAGTGCTTAGCTTAAACACCCATTTTAACCTTCTAATATACGAAAAGAGAGCTTATTTCCTGTATCCATATTATGACCAAGGGCCTAATGCATATAACAATTAAATAAATATCACTTGCAGCCTGTTTCTTCCGCTACTTACTCTTTTAGTAGCTGCACTTAACTTCTTTTATTATTTTTAAAAACTTCCTGGGAAAAGCTACACACACCACCACCACCACAACTATCTTTTTGTTCTTAGTGACTTTGAGCCAGAAAACAGAATTCTCCCAGTTATTTTAAAGCCACCTGAGAAACTGTCTTCAGAGGCAGTCCCATCAGAGCTTTGCCTACAGCTTAAATACTTCATAAATCCCCTTTACCAAATGTTGGACATACTCATCCTGATGATACATAATCAGTGCAATTACAATAGTCAAAATATCCTTGGAGGGGAAAAAAGAAAATGTATTCCCTCTATATAGAACAGAATAAAGGCATGGAAGGCAAGAGAGGCCTATCCAAGGTGAGAGAATGAGGCCAGAAAAGAATCTGGCTCACCTGATTCTCAGCCAATATGTTGACCGTTTATACACTCAACAGGTAGTTTTGAATGTTTTCTATATAAATAATGGGGAGACAGGGGTGAACAAAATACAGTCCCTGAACTTAAGTGTTTAGAGTTCAACAAAGAAGGCAAAAAACTCAATACAGTAAGATGTAAATCCTACTATGACAGGGGAAATGCAGTGTACTATAGAAATTTGCAAGGCTTTACGGTGAGAGAGAACACAAGATAAAGAAATCCAGTAAAATTTAGCAACTTTAGAAGGTGAGGGGAATGGTGAGATGAAATACGCAGAGATGGGTTCACTTTGTTCTCAGGGCAACGTAAAATCATTTTTATGGTTTTATGCAGGGGATTCATACAATCCCATTTACAGTTTTAGGAAGATTGCACTGTGGCAAATGCATAAAAGGGAAACTGGCTATTGTGAGACCAGTTGAGAGATGAGTTATGGTTGTAGCCTGAACTAGAATGTTGACAGTAGGGATGGAGTAAAATAAAAAGAGAAACATTTTGGTTTGAGCAAAGACTGGGGAGGGAGAAGAGGAGAGTATGAGAGGGAAAATGAGGCATTGAACCCTAGTTCTCTAAGATTAGACCCAATTCTGGTTATATTTGAATCAAATAGACATATGCAAAAGATACATGGGTCTGGTGCTCCCAAGAGAAGCCGAGTTGGAAATAGATTTGTTTAATAATCATTATTTTTGTTAATGGGAATTGTAATTCTAAGGAGAATAAAACTACAAAGAGAGAGTGTGAATTGAAGAGAGTCTGTGAAAGGAACTCCAACATTTGAGTAGCAGCTGGGTCAAGGAAAAGTGCCTAAAAAAAGAGTATTTGGATGGGCTCTCCCTCCTGGGAGTCAGCCGCACTTTTTCCTTCCCCTTCTTCTTGCCCCCACAGGCATTCATCTCCTAAACGCTAAGGGTCCCCATGAGACTTGCAACCAGGAGAGCAATGGGCAGTGGCACCTCATCCCGGGCTAACCCCCCAAACTGTCTCCAAGGCCCCCTCTCTCTGACTTTCCTGTGAGCTGGTATCAGTTCCGCCTTGACTCATCTCCTTCCCATCTGTTCTAGAGCCAAAGCACCCGCCTAGCCTCTCCTCTTGCTGCTTCTATCCTAAGACCCTCCTTGCTTCACTGTCCCATTTTAATAAACATACTCTTAAAAAAAAAAAAAAGATCTGACTGAAAAAGGATAACAAGAAAGCAGAGAAGGTAATGGTTTTTTAGTAACTATAGTGTTAGTGTGTTTCCAGAAGAATGGAGTTTTGTGTTTTTTTTTTATATATATATTTTATTGATTTATTACAGAGAGGAAGGGAGAGAGAGAGCTAGAAACATCGATGAGAGAGAAACATCTATCAGCTGCCTCCTGCACATCTCCCACTGGGGATATGCCCGCAACCCAGGTACATGCCCTTGACCGGAATCGAACCCGGGACCCCCCAGTCCACAGGCCGACGCTCTATCCACTGAGCCAAACCGGCTTTGGCCAGAAGAATGGAGTTTTTTTTTTTTTTTTTTTTAAATATATTTTATTGATTTTTTACAGAGAGGAAGGGAGAGAGATAGAGAGTCAGAAACATCGATGAGAGAGAAACATCGATCAGCCGCCTCCTGCACACCCCCCACTGGGGATGTGCCCGCAACCCAGGTACATGCCCTTGACCGGAATCGAACCTGGGACCCCTCAGTCCACAGGCCGACGCTCTATCCACTGAGCCAAACCAGTTTCGGCAGAAGAATGGAGTTTTAAACATTGTAAATGGCACAAACAGTTTAAGCTACAAGAACTGAAAGTGTTGATTTAAGTTTCTCAACTTTCTTTTCATTATTATCTGCTAAAGGAGCCTTTTCAGACTCCCCTTCTATCATACCCCTCCCCTAGAAAGTTTCAAACCACAAGTATATACTGTATATTTCTTTATGTACTGTTGAGATATCTGTGCTTTATAAAAAGAATATGATTTTTTCTTGTCCCTACTGAGAATATATAATTTAACACAGAGAGGATGTTGATGATCTTATTAAAAGCAGTTTCAGTGACAGTTTAATGGAAAACTGGAAACCAGGTATACTGTAAAGGGCTGAGGAATGAGAAATAAGTAGCAAGAAATGGGAAAAACAGAGATAAGGAGAGCAGATGATACATTCAAGAACTCTAGCTGTGAAGGAAATGAAAAGACAGGCAAATAAATGGGTGTAGTTCATAAAGCTAAGGAAGAATATTTTTAAATTGGAAAGAAAAGGTGTGAGCAGAGGGGGGAAGGCTGATGATGTAGGGGAGAGAATAACTAAAAAAAGAAAGAAAACCCTGTAAAAGTAGGAGAGGATGGCATTGGTCAACTAGGTGAAAGGATTTGTTTTCCATAAGGAGAAGGGACATGTTTTCCTCTTTAAACAAATGGGAAGAAGGTTTACATATTTGGTTGCAGGAAGACGATGGCTTTTATTTTCTCTGTGTAACAGGGAGGAAGGTAATTTGCAGATGGAGAGAGAATTCCTCTTCTTTACAAATACCATTTCCTACCCACGAATTGAGATACTACTGAGCACCTTACAAGTATCTACCCTGCAGGGAACTCCAATAGGTGAATGCTTCTTAGGAACACTGTAAAAATCCCAAGATTCAATATGAAAAGCTAATCTGATTGCAAAGAGAGCTTTCCTACTAAAGATACGTTAAGTTTTGGATAATTCTTCATTCATCTCATTTCTCCACTTTTCCTATGGTTTCATGTCCTCCCTTCTTTCGAGAACGAACCCTTCCATTTGTCATTTTGAATCGTTAATGTTATACATTGGTTAACTGGTTTTCTGCACCGAAGATAATGGTGCAGCCGGGTCAAGGAAATGGTGCCTAAAAAAAAGAATATTTGGGCCCAAACCGGTTTGGCTCAGTTGATAGAGCGTCGTTGTCCTGCGGACTGAAGGGTCCCAGGTTCGATTCCGGTCAAGGGCATGTACCTTGGTTGCGGGCACATCCCCAGTAGGGGGTGTGCAGGAGGCAGCTGCTCGATGTTTCTAACTCTCTATCCCTCTCCCTTCTTCTCTGTAATAAAATAAATATTTTTAAAAAAGAATATTTGGACGCATTCCTAAAAACAAACAAACCTCAAGCTTTTCAGGAACCTTGCCCACCTCCATAAGCGTCTGTTCCGTGCTCCAAGGGAAGAAGGTCACGTCTGCCCCGGCAGTCTCTCCGTTCAGTAGCCGACTCTCTCACTTCCTAATCCTCAAATCCAGCCACCCGGTCTCAGACTCCCACGGGCTCCTTGAAACCCTGGCAGCATCTCTTGTCGCTGATAACATTCCCCCAAACAAAACCAGTACTTCTTACCCTATTACTACACGAAACTCCACCTGCTTTGTTCTCACCTTGGACGTCTCCTTCCGGCTCACTCCCCATGCTTTCTTCCTGTTATCCTTCTACCATCCCTGCCTAAACCACCGTCGCAAACCCGATACATCCCAAGTTCCACAAAATTCCTCCTCCTCGCGCGAGGGCTCCCGATTTTATCGAGGCACCACCTTCTTAACCACGTACGCTCTCAGCTTCGGCTCCAGATCCAAGCCCCATCTACCAAGTGCGAGCAGCCACACTGGCCATCGCTCTCGCGTACTCCTCGCCACCTCCTGCTTAGGTTCCCACCACCTGTCAGTCTTCGGGGCGGCAACACCCTCCTCACTGTATTCCCCGCACCTGGCGCCTCCAGGCGCCACCCTCTATCCTAACAGGATGTGCGCTCAGGTCTGTCCCGGGTTTGGTTCTCCTAAGCAGAAGCCTGGGGCTGAGGTCCGAGTCGTCGGTACTCCAGCTCACGGTGGGTGACAAGACCTTCTTCCCGCGCCGGAGGACGGAAGGGGGACCCCAATGAGCCTGAACCGCTCGGGCCTGGAGCCTGCGAACACAGGGCTGTAGGGGCACCGTCCCTTCCGGCCCGGCTGGCAAGAAAGCCCGGAAGGCCAGGAGGGAGATCGCGGCCCCGGCCCGCAGCGCGGGAGACGCTCCCGCAAGCCAGGATCGTCAGCCTACGCCCCCGTTTTCCAACCGTCCCCAGAACGCAGACTCCCCGCCCCTCACACTCACCCCGACACCTGGGCCTGTCAGTGATTCGGCGCCGGGTCCTCTCCGCACCGGGACTGAGGCAGCGGAGTAGGCTGTGAGGACCCCGCCGTTGGAGTGCCCAGTAGATTGCCTGACTGACAACTTCAAGGAGACCAACGAGGTCTACAGATTTGGAAAGGTTAAGTAAGCGGGAAGGTGTTGAATGAGAAGAAATACATCTCTTGAGTTTTAGGGTTTAGATTCCCCGAGAATTCAGAAGAATGAGGGGGTTTCGCGTTCCTGGACTCAGGCGCTCATCCGCAACCTAACACAATCTGCGGGGGGGACGGGTTGGCCCCCTACGAGGAGGGGCGGGACCGGGAAGGGGCGGTACTAGCCGATGGGTGGAGCTGAGGGGGTCGAGCCAATGATTGCGGGCGGGAGAGGCGTGAACTGGGAGGAGCCGAGAGGGAGGGGTTTGTAAAAACGGAGGCGGTGTTACGAGGCGGGGGCGGTACCGCAGCGCCGAAGGGGTGGGGCGCACGCTGGATCCTAAGTGGGGTGGGAGCGCGAAGATGGCCACGGCAGAGGAGGAGCCGAAGCCCAAAAAGCTGAAGGTGGAGGCGCCGCGAGCGCTGAGGTGAGCGCTACCTGCGTGGGGTGGAGGGTGGCGGCGCCGGCTTCTAACCGGGGCCTACGTGTGGGTTGCACTGGGTGGTGGCCTGGCTGCCGGTGTGGGGCCAACGCGTGGATGCCGCTCTTCGGGGTGCAGCCCGCATGGCCGCGACCTCTCGCCGCGTGCCCGCCCCATTTGGCGGAGTCGCCTCCTGTCTGGGAGCGGCTCCAGCCGCCCTTGGCCAATCAGAGCGCCGGCAGCGGGGGCCGAGCCGGCTGTGGGCAGGCTGCGGGCGCCACGTGGGAGTCCTCCCGCCTGGGCTGCTGAGAGTCCGGAGAACCGAACCGGACCAGAGCAAAGTCACATGCCGCCGCCTCCTCTTTCCTGGGGTGTGACGTGGAGGAGGCCCAGCGAGTTCTCTGCCCTGGGGCAAAGACAGAATTGTTGGGGGTTTTTCGTAAAAGGGAGACTTGGCTTTGCTTTTCTTACACACTCTGGATGCTGGCGCTTTTGCAGAGTCTGCCAGCGACCCAGCCCCAGCCTCCGAGGCTTGGTTGCGGGGTGAAGGTTGGGAGTGGGAGCGGCATTTAGCTGAACGGATAGGAAAGGCTGCTTTTCCTTCTTTTTTTTTTTTTCTCTCTCTCTGCATTTGTTGGCTTCAGTGAGGACAGTCCTGGGCCTAACACCTGCTTCACATGTGATTGATGTTGCAACTTTTACTTACAAAAAATTGTTAAATATTCCTTCGTATAAAGGGCAGCGTGCACAGCCCTTAGTGATTTTGAAATGTTCATTGGAAGGCAGTGGTTTTTCTAATTAAAAACAACCATATCAAATTGATTTAAAACTATCGGGACAGTCCTCATTATACAAGAGGAATCTCATTTCTTCCAACATCATTTACTTCTAAAAGAATGGATCATTCGTAATTGAAAAAAGGGCACGTACTGGCCCAAATCGAGGCCAGTGCCTTGTGGAGGAAAGGGGCCACGTGCTAACCTGACAAGCTCAGGGGAAGCCTGCATGGCAGTTTTGCAGACTCAGACTTAAAGTAACCACAAAGGGTGGTCTGAAATTAAACTTCAACTAAAAGCAGTTATGGTGGGTAGTTACGTCCTAGGCCGGTATCTTCACTGACAAGGTCAACCTTTATCTGTCTTTTTGCATCGACTATAATAACATACCCTTTGAAATGTCTGTGTATCTTGTAACTTCCCTTTTTCTGGACCCCTTGGGGCACAACCTAATGTGCTGGGTGGCAGGACAGATACCACAAATTCCTTCATTGTTATCATGTTAATTGGTCCTGCACCCACCTAAGTATGTGTCTATCATTTTACTTTTTATCCAATCCCAGGGGTTTCCCTGCTCTGCTTTCTCCTTCCTCTCTAGTCTATCACCAGTGGATTTCAAGTAACCCACCTACATCCCTTTCCTTCGATTGCAATGTATAAACACAGATGTAACCAGCCCATTCTTTGGAGCATTATCTCAATTCATTGAGGTTCTGCTTCCCGGCTCAAATAAACTCACAAAAATTCTTTACAGGTTTCAATGTTTGTTTGTTTGTTTTTTTACGTTAACAGCCTTTAATGTATTTCTACTACCTTCAAAGGGTTAGTGTCCCTACCTTGTATGAAGAAAAGAAACCTTTAAGAAATCAGGATATTCTTTTTTAAGCTTTCAAACTATAGCGTAAAGCAGCGATTTTCAACCGGTGTGCTGCAAGAAGTTTTAAAACATGCAATACCTGACTATTTAGTCAGGGGCTCTGATCTCTTTTCCCTTTCATTGTCAAATTAAAAAATGACAATAGCCAACACAGCAATAGCCATCTGGGTGTGAATGAATCAAATTTATACTTTCTTTTTTTGGTGTGCTGCGGAATTTTAGTGATTAGTTTATGTATGCTATGAGATTGAAAATCTCCGGAGTAAAGAAAGCAAGGGGTTTTGAATCAGACCTACCTTGGTTCAAGGCATGTGCTTTCCCTATGTGGCCCATTACTAGAGTCCTTACTGTCTTAAAAGGCACCTCCTCCACAAAGTTTCCTTTTTCCAAAGTGGAAATCAGATGCAACTTTTCTCTACTATCCTACTGAACATACTGCTTTTAAGTTTTCCCTTACGTGCATCATTTTCAAAGTGCTTTCCTATTTTACAGATGAGGAAATTAATGCCAAATGAAATAGTTAAGGAACTGAAATATGAACCCAGAGCATGTGGGTGCAAGTTTATTGTTGTTTGACTCCACTGTACCTACTTTTATGAGCCACCCAAGGTGCTTATACATCAATAAAACTAATGATAAACAATGTTTAATACTTAAGTATGTTTGTGCTAGGCACTGTTTAAGCATTTTACCTATTTTTACTCATTCAATCCGCAACAACACTACAAGGTAGTTACCGTAATTATCCCTATTTTACCGAGCAAGCATAGAGAAGTTAAGTAATTTATCAAGTCACCTATCTAATAAGTGATGGGGTTGGGATTTTAATCCAGGTAGTCTCATTCCATGTCTGTACTCTGTTACCAGGCTATACTTATTAACTTCAAGCAATTTATGCAAAAACCCTAAATTGTTAACTCAGTTTTTGTTTTTCTATTATTTTTGCCCCTTTTTTTTGTTAGCATACATAACTTTTTATGTGGTTGAAATAGGTGGGCATATGATACAAAATAATTCTTAAATATATATATATGTCATTAGTGTCTATTTCAAATTTGTAAAAGTCCTTAGGCAGCTGAAGCTCATTTTATACACTATGTCCTTAGTGCCACCTGTAGACTTGAAGTTAAAATATTAGACACGAGTATTGGGACAAATCTCTTAATTTTGTGTGAAGACCTTTTGGGATCGGCTGCTCCTACTTTTTTTGTTTTTTAAATATATTTTATTGATTTTAGAGAGGAAGGAAGAGCGAGAGAGATAGAGATATCAATGATGAGAGAGAATCATTGATTGGCTGCCTCCTGCACGCCCTCTCCTGGGGATCAAGCCCGCAACCCAGGTATGTGCCCTTGGCTGGAATCGAACCTGGGACCCTTCAGTCTGCAGGCCGATGCTCTTTCCATTGAGCCAAACCGGCTAGGGCTGCTCCTACTCTTATTATATTAGTTTGGTTTTAAGTGTCACAGTGTGATAAAGCACTGAGTGATTAGACTGCATGCATTATCTATGATGACTTGTTTGACAGTTCAGGGGCTAGCTGCCACTTTCGGTGGATTTTTAAGGAGAATGATTTATAAAGTTTAAGCATAGTTTAATGTGTAGATCAGTCATTGGGGAACAGATTTATGAGATATATTTTTAGAGATCAGGGAAAGAGGATTTAGGCCTTTGTGAAAATTTCAGTTAGCTCTGAAATAGGGATTTTCAGCCAGAGGACATTTGACATTGTATGGAGTCATTTTTGATGGGAGGTGCTACTAGCACATAGTGGGTGGAGTTCCAGGATTTTGTTAAACATCCTATAGCGCACAGAAAGCTCCCTATAACAAAGAATTATCCAGCCCCAATTGACAATAGTGTTGAAATAGAAAAAACTTTGCCCTAGGGAGAACATCTGACAAGTGTAGCCTTTATTTTTCTAAGTTGGGTTGCTTTTCAGGTTATAGCAGCTACTGAAGTTTCAAAGAAATAAACACTCTAACATGATTTCACATTGGGTTTGGGGAACAAAAGGGAACATTAATTGAATGCCAGACAGTATACGAGAGACTTTATGTATACTATCTTAATTGTTCCAGCAACCTGTGAGGTAGGAGTAATGATCCCCATATTACAGCTGAGGTATTTAGGGCTGAAAGAAGTTGAGAAGCATTTTTGGGAACTGCTCTTTAAATGAAGATGTTCCACCAATATTACCTATATTTAGGTCCTCTTAGTTTTCTTTTCTCTACTTTGGAAATCTCATCCAAGTTCACTTCTTTAGCGGTCACCTCTGAGAGGATACGGTTTCTTCCAAGGCTTGTTCAGCACATGCCAAGTCTGTTCTTTGAATCAGTATTTCAAGTGACTGCTATTTTTATCATGGCACTAAACATTAGGGACCTATATATAGAGAGGTAAGATCCAGGTTTCATCCTCCTGGTGGAAATGAGTGGGGTTTGGGAAAATGGTACCTGAGGATAATGAAGGATGACAAAGAGTTAACCAGGTGTGAAGTAGGGTGCCTGGCTTTGTAGGAAAGTTTGTTTTGAGATAGAAATGGAAGATAGCTGCTCCTTGGGAAGCTACAGATGATTTGGTCTGACTTGTAGCAGAAGGTGTATGGAGTCCCGACATTGTACTGGATGCTTTCACATGTGTGAATATCCTTTAGCTCAGACCAATTTTACTATTTACTAAATACCTCCTTCTGAGTGGCTTGCTGCCAC